TTAACGTTCTTAAGTTAAAAAGTTTTTGTATATCATTAAAAAAAATCAGCTAAAAATATGTAAATATTTTATAGTATTGGAAATACTAACTGTCACAGTTAGTATTACAAGTAGTATTTCTAATAATCAATCGATCTATTTTCATAAAATATACACTGGCCTCTTAATTGGGATAGTACGTACGCAAATGTAAATATCCTTTGAAGTCCATTTAATTTTCCAGCATGAAGTAACTAATAGATAATCTGACATTTACGATTTTATTATAGTTATAGACTTGATACTAAATATTCAATTACTACTATATATGGCAAGTTTGCCCGTGAATCAATACATATAATAAAATCGTAACTGATTGCTGTCTGTACATGGAAGATATGTAAGAAAAACTATTATAAGATATATACGAGGTCTGTCCGGAAAGTTCGTATAAAAGTGTTCTGGAATGCGAGAAAGAGGAGTGGGGAGGCCAGGTAAGCGCAGGACCCCTTCCTTATGTCCCTAACAATGCTTCAGTTCTGGTCTGACCGCCGTGCGGTGCGAACTGGCTTGTCACGCCATCTGTGAAGTTACCTCTTAACGAAACCCCGTCGGCATGGAGCCCGCTTCCGTTGAAGAGCAGCGCGTCGTAATCAAGTTTCTCTCGAAACTCGGCAAGAATGGCCGTGAAATTTTTGCCGATCTCAGAACAGTTTATGGGGATGATGCTGTGAAGGAACCAACCGTCCACAAGTGGCTAAAAAGATTCAGAGAGGGCCGAGAAAACGTTCAAGATGACCCACGTTCAGGACGTCCTTCCACTTCACATTCCGACGAAAACGTGGAAAGAATTCGAACTTGTGTTAATGGGGACCGTCGTTTAACGGTCAGACAGGTGGCTGAAGAGCTTAATTTGGGCAAAACCGTGGTCCACGAAATTCTAAGAAACGAACTTCAAATGAAAAAAATTTGCGCCAAGATCGTTCCCAAGCTTTTGTCCCCGGATCAAAAATCACGAAGAGTTGCTTGCTGTGAGGACTGTTGTTGGCCCCGTGTGACTTCTTCTTGTTCCCAAAAACCAAATTGGTACTTCGGGGGCGGCATTTGGGGGACATAAATGAGATAAAAAAAGCTACGACGGGGCAGCTGAGAAACCTACAACCAGAGGACTTTCAAGGAGCCTTCTCACAGTGGAAACGGCGTTGGCACAAGTGCATTATGTCACAGGGGGAGTACTTTGAAGGGGATAAAATTGATTTACCTGAATAATTGTAAAATAAAATTTTTAAAAAACTTTTATACGTACTTTCCGGACAAACCTCGTATATGAACGTAACAGAACCCAAAACTAATGATTTTTAGAATTTTTATCTGTTTGTCTGTACGTTTATGCACGCTAATCTTAGGAACGTCTTAACCGCTTTGAATGCGTCTTTCACTAATTCGTTTTGGTTTGCTCACCTTCACATTTAGTATTTATTTTAATTGGTTCATAAATAAAAAAGTTATATTAATCTAAAGAATTACATATAAAATGCTATAAAATAACCGATCAGTTGAATTGGTTGAAACTTTTTTTTATTATATCTATTGATTTTCGAAAATTCTCTCTACTCGTGCGAAGCAGGGTCGGATCGCTAGTTAGTGTATAAATTATCCTATATAACAATTATAACTATTAGATATAATCTGTGTACCGAATTTCAATTTAACTTTGTTCACTAGTTTAACCGTGATTAAGTAACAAACCTCCAAATTTCTTTACAAATTTGGTAATTTATAATATTAGTAAAATTGCGCAATTACGAGTACAATATATCGTATATTAATAAAGATATTTAAAAGTGTAATGCTAGCAAAATACCGCTGAAACATGACCGTGTATGTATTATTGTGCAATTATAAACAAAATCATTTGAAACCTTACATAATGACGTCAATTGGCATATTTACATGAATAAATAATATTGTGTACCTATGGGAATGGAATAACGTACAATTGTTTTTATGCAACTTAAAATGGCAAACAAAATGATGCCCCCTCTGATGGAAAGTGGTAATCGTCGCCTATAAACATGAACAGCACCATGGACATAACAGAGTACTATATCGCCTATGATATCCTTCATGCGTTGCCATTCCTGAGGACTAATTGTTATAAGCATAACCCACAGAGGCCTGTACCCTGTAGTTTTTATAGCTATGTCCCACCCTTCAAACTAAAACTGCCACGGCCTTCACGGTAGATACAGAATAGTGACAGAGGTACCCAAGCAGATTAGTATAAAGTCTCCCTTTGGTCTGTACAATCAGGTATTAACAAAACTAAAACAATGTTGGCTCATTTATTTTTTTAAGAAATGAAATGGGAATGGTAATCTCGCCTGTGCTATTGATTTACATTGGTGGAGCGCCATTGACTTATTATAAGCGAGGATGAACTTAGACCGGTTGGTTTATAATGACAAATGTACATGGAATTCATTACAATGGTTTCCAGGGATGACTACGAATTTTTTTAATAGGCGATAATGAAATGGTAACCCCGCTTTCGCTAGTGAGCTAACTACCAGTGAGGGATGATAGGTGAGAATGAAAAGACAGGTCAGTTTGCTCATCGTGATGAATACACTTGGAACTTAACATGATGGTTTCCAGGGAGGACAACGTGGAGGTCGACCTGGCAGTGTATATAGGCGATGGGAACTAAAATCCTTATAAGTAACAATCTTCTTCCTTCCATACACACATCCACGCGTAAAATTTTAAGTACCTCTCTGTGTACGTCATGGTTTAAATATAATTAAATTTATCCCGCTATTTCACCCGGATAAATTACGTCAGATATGTTATAAGTAATTAATTTGTGTAATTTATTCCACAGGTCTGATTTCCCGGATAAAAAAAAATCCTATAACAATTATTGTACCCATTATAATCGAGACCATGTTCTATGTCTAAAATTGTATCAAAATCCATTTAACCTTTTAAAATTATTCTAATAACAGAAATTTGAGTTGAATAGGTTGTTGCCTGTTTGTTGCCTGGTTGAGACCGCTCTTAGCAATAAGGCTGCCCATTGTTTTCTCAGTTTAATATTATCTTGTATTTTTTTTCTATTTATAATAAGTTTACTTATGTAATGTTTTGGAGGAATCAATAAAGAGTATTTATCTAACTATATTATCCATCAGGATCCATATTCCGAGATTAAAAAATATCATATAAGTTCACGTGTTCCATATCCACAATTTGGTCCATTTGTGTGTCAAATTTTATTCAAATCTGTGCAATCTTTTAAGCGTTATTAAGTAACAAACATCCAAGCATTTTCACAAAATATGATAATAGTGTATTATAGTGACTATGAACAGTTGGCCAATAGTTTTTCATCAATGGTGATCCCCCCTCCCTCAAGAGATTGTTAGTACAGTTAAGTCCATATTTACTATATACATATCTTTGTTTCATATGGTATTCCATAGCGGATTATGAGATAAATGGTTGCATTACTTATATTTTTTAAATTTAGTATCAGTGTGTTGACATTTTATCTTCTAAAGGGGGCGGTGGTCCATTAAAGGTTAGAAATCTATAAGATAGAGTATCGATAAAGCAAAAGAGGGTCAGTATTTGGGTTTCCATTTTTTCTAACTGTACCAAAGGGAGATAAGGGTAAAGTATAACATATGCACATATTAATATATACATTAAGATTTTTAGATTTATCAATAATTTTCCATGGCTCTGCCCACGCCAGTTATAACAAAAAATATTCTATTTATCAATCCAGTACTATATACTGGAAAGAATTACCACAAACTTCTTCGTATGAAACATCAAATCTATCCAATCGTTAAAGGATAATCGAGTAACAAACATCTAAACATACAAACATCAATTACACATGATTTTTGTAGTATTTTCTAGTTAAAAGTTTTGTTTGTGAAAGGTTATGAAAAACAAATGACATTTCAGCTACGAAGGTTTATATATATAATTTATACATACACAAACATAAATCCTGAAAGCATTACACTTTTTTTTTGGCTAGTCGTGGAAAAAATGTGATGAGATATAACTTAAAAAATATCCAAATGTTTAGACTGTATTTTTTTTATAGTTGAGTTAATTCGTTAATTTATACTTTTGTGTGCAAAAAATAAAGACTAAGAATTGGTGTAAAGATAGATAATTAAGAATTGAATTAATTTACTAATTTCAAATACAAATAAATTTGAAATTTAAAGATTTTTTATGAAACATAAAATTTTGAATATTGCTTATTATTGATGTTTTTTTATGGGTTTGAATGAATATACAAAGAGCATATAATTTTAAATCTTTGTCATTTTAAAGTCGATTAACTAATTACTTTCGATTTGATTTTTAATAATATTTGCTCCTTTTTTAAACACTTACATATTTGCCATGATTGCAGTGATAATATACCCTATTAAGTGGACCTTCAAATGGTCGTCCTGAAAATCATCATGAATATATCTTGGTGAATTCAATATAATGGGCTGCCCAACCTAACTTCACTCTCACCTATTTACTGGTATTACCCCGGCGTACGCGCACAAGGGGTTACCATTCCATTTTCATCCTATAAAAAATCTCAAAATTTACTATCAGGTCATATTGTATTTCCCTGTGGTGGTCATATCCGCACGTCAACGTTATTTTTATCTTATCACGGTCCAATATACTATGTCAGTACAACTGTGACCACCCGTTTTGCTGCAGTACATCAGCGAATGCAGTTCAAAGGTTGTTGACTTATTATGCATTTTCACGTTAGATTTATTATTTACAAATAATATGTATTAGATAATTTTTGCATAAGCGTATGGTGGGGTGTTGTATGACATTGTATTTCGTAGAATACGCGGTGCAAGTTGCATTCGTGTGTGTGTCAAGTCCATCAATACGTTGGACTAGATCCCTGTCACTCACAGTCGTAAATGACGACTTCAGTGATTCGGTCACTGTACTCTAAACTACTTCATATCTTTCAGACAGCCGCCGGTAAGGCCTTTGATATCGACATCGGTATTAGGTAAGTGTTAATTAGTTATTTTAATTTATTACTTATTTTAATTTACTAATTATTTTAATTTTTTAATTTAATTTAATTTTTTGATAATAATATTTAATTATTGTATCTTTTTTATTTTATCATGAAGTTGAACGAGTAAAGTGCAATAAAAATAATTAATTCTTATTGATTTTTTTTGGTGAAAGTTTTTTTTAAATATTTTGTGAATTTTATTTATAAAATAAAGTGTTTTAATCTATAATTTTTTTATTATGATTTTATTAGTGCTCTGTCAGTGAAAGTGAACTTTTTCTAAAAATATATCTTTGGAAAATTTGTTAATAATTAACAAATAATTTGAGTGAAAAAAGTGAACCTACAATTTTTTTATATTTTATTTTCATCTAATATATAGCTGTGTTGTGTAAAAGTGCAATTTTTATAAAGTTTTTTTTTGTGATTATTTTAATAAGAAAACAAGTTTTAATAAGAATTTAAATTGCTTTTAGTGTAATGTTTAAAGTTTAGTGTTTAAAGTGCATTTTTTATTTACTGCGAATGTTGTCTGGAATGAACAATTATGTGTATATTTTTTTATTCAGTAATAATAAAAGCAAACACTTTCAGGTGCCATTCATTGAGCAAAGCTGATAAGAAGAAAGCCTGCCAGCCTGGTAGTATGAAACCAATGTCTGCCCACGAAGAAAAGACTCTGGATACTGCTGTAGCTATGGCAAACGAAATAGGCAACATGTAAGTAAAAAAATATAATATTTAAATATATAATATATTTTATTAATGAGTGCCTTGTATTGAGGAATATTAATATAGTGACTTGTAAAATTTTCCTTTCGATGACTCGATATGACAGTGTTTATTTCTTAACCTTAAATATATTTTTCGGTTGCCTCGAAATTTTAGCAATTTACTATTTTTCATAATCTAAGATTGTTAATATTGTCGATTTTGTTAAAATATGTTTCAAATAATTAAAAGCAAAAAAAAAATAATATAATTATTCATATTCAACTGCTTTTAGAAAAGGTGGCAGTTCTCAATTTGTTTGTATTTTTGTTACATTTATTACCTCATAACTCCGTCAGTTATTAACTTATTTGGAATGTTTTTTTATCTAAAAGGATGTACTTACAAATTGATCCCATATAAATTTCATCAAAATCGGTTTAGTAGTTTAGTTTTTAATTCGAAATAACTAGTTTTGCCACAATTAAACTCTTTTTTTTTTGTGGGACACAATCTTGAAGTCTAATTGTTTGTAGAGAGTGAGATGTATATTTCTATATGTGGAAGAACAAACAATCAAATGTTTCCTGTATGTAATATTAATATAGATTTAGATACAGCGTTTGCACTAACCGAGATTAGACTAAACAAACAGGTGACTATGTGCATGCACAGGACAAATTATAAAGTTGGATCAAATTTATGTGAAGTTGAATTTTAGAATAGACAATATTGTGTGTTTTCAAGTGTTAACTATGTAGTTATAACAGAAAATACAGTGATATTATATATAAGAAGTGTCTAAGGGAAGGTTCAGTTGATACTGTGAGTGTCCCTTTGCAATGTGTTCTGCTGTGCAGCCCTGGTTATTTATCATTATCAAGTTTTTTTGTAATGGTGTGTGATTATTATTTTTTTATTATTACCGTTGTTCTTTCTCTATTATGAATGTATTGTTTAGCTGTAATGCTTGTCGAAGGCATATACTTAATTTATATGTGAATAAATAAATAATTAAATTGTATAGGTCTATGAACGATTTGGACGGCGACAACAAGATGCCTAGCTCGCCGAGTGACAAATCCAAGTTCCATTTCAAATTTCCGCTCGTGTCACTTCACCATGGCCCGCAAAACGAACCCGATAAGGATTCTGCAGGTCAGCATTCTTTTATAATTTGTAACTTGGTTTAATATTAATATATGCATTGAGAAACCGGTAGATTTAACTTCTTCGTAGTGTGTGCCAATATATTCTTTTAACAGGACGATAATGGAATGAGAGCCACATCTGTGCTATTGATTTACGTTTTTTAAAGTGTCAATATTCGCTTATGAGGATCTTTTACTGAAGAGCATCATAGATGAGGAAGAAGTTCAGTCATTCAGCTCATTGCCTAATTCACCAAAAATGAATCACAATGGAGATCTCCAGGAGGAATCCTGTGGAAATTAACTTGACAGGGGATCCTGTTAATATTTTTAATAATTGTAGCAATAAGACCGCTAAACCAATGGGAATTGTTGGTAATAATAATTCCAATAGTTGTTATTAATAAGAATAATTCCAGACCTCATTACTAATAATCCCCTCTCCCCGAAAATTTAACTTAGATCCCGGACTTCTAAGATGAATTCAGGTAACGACCCGGAACAGTCGGGCCATTATAACATACAATTTTAGAGCTTTTTTAATGTGTGTATAGGTTGGAATTTTGTATTGCGGCATTAAACATGCTAGAGAAGTTGAGAGCCACCGGTAATCGGAGTAATGGCTTGACGCTTATTGTAAAGCGTCAACAAATTTTCTATTTGTAAGAAATAAGGATCATTTTACATCACTAATACTTACGTGTTTTACAGTACATCATTTTGAAATCTATTTGACACAGATATTTGTATTTATTTCTTTGCATTATTTGTATGTATGTACGTATTTACAAAAATATGTATTTACTTATGTATTTGTATTAGTTATCCAGTGGGAGCGAGTTTCATTTAGTTTTGAACTAGATGGCATTGCACGGTATGTTTATGCCTATTATGTGTCCTTACATCTACTATATGCGGGACTAAACATGTCGGTTTCTACATTCCGTCAGTTGGGCCGTTAGATTGTGCGCCATTCGAACTAATATAAAATACGCGAATGAACTTTGTTGTATCATATAATAAAATGTTATTGTACAATTTCCAGGTAAGCAGGAGCGTCGTAACTTTAGCGAGGAGGCGAACAGTGTCCCTGATATACAGGTAATTATTTTTTTCTTATTTTTTCTCTGTCATATATATTAATCAATTATGTATATGGTATACTAGTAAAATATTGATATAATGATAAATTAACACAGTTTTAGTGAATTGTTTACCTAAAAAAAAACAAATTTCCTATCCTAGATAAGAATTATTAATTCCATAGGAAATATAATGTTTTTTTAAGTTGATAGTTCATAATCTTTTTCTTCAATTTTTGTATTAAAATAATAGCTTTTAAGTTAGTTTAAAAATTAGTTAATTTAAAAATCATCTATTTTTTTCTAGCTTATTAACTTACTATTACCACACTGGTTCTGGGGACTAGTATAGTGTTTTATTTTGAGTTTTATTTCCCTTACACAGGTGTGATACCTTTAGTTACGACACCTCGGAGATGAAAAAAGTCTAAATAGTTAAAAAAAAATTTACAGTAAAATTTTTCTTGGCAATATTTAATTCTATTGAGTTGAGTCTTGACTTGATGGAATTTTAGTCATTAAAATAAAAAGTGTTACTGTGTCATTGTGTTAAGTTATAAAAGTTTTTTTTTTTCAGGTATTAAAAAAAGAGTGTTAAAATGTGCTAGATTAATTATAATTGTTAGGAATGTCTAAATGTCTTTATATTATAAATTAACCCAATTTCTACTGCGCTGGTGTGGCTGTTATTCGGACAACGTATTCACAAATAGATGCATCCGACAAGAAGCTATTCATATGAATTATTCTATCATTAGCGCTTCCCGCTGTTTTGACGACTCAACGTATCAGTCACGTCGATGCAATGGGAATTGGGCCTATTTGAAATTTTTTATCCGATATTGGCAAGAAAATTATAATAGTAAGTATATGTCGGAACTAGATGGCGCTGTGTAATATCTTAATGATTTTTTTAATTCGTGTTTAGGTCTTAATGCGCCTCGATTATATGTGAATAGTACTTAAGCACCTGATTTTTATTGCAATTTAAAATTACCAGCAGCCATTAATTTTTAGTTTATCCATTACAAACTTACAAAAATCGAATCTCTCCTCAATATAATGTTAATTTAAATTATTTATAACGTTACTTGTTTTCTATTATTTTCAGTCGACCATAACGGAGGAGAGCAAAATGGCGTATACTAGCTTGATTGAGCAACCGACTCCTTCGTCGTCTCTTGTAGCACACATGAAGGATCTGTCGCTGAACAAGCCGTCCGGCATCCCAAAGCCGGCGCCGCGCACCTACGATATGAAGGCGCAATTCTACTCCAGACAGAAGCAAATGCCGCTTAAGTAAGAAAATTTTTACATATTAATTTTTATCAAAATTGATCAGTGTGAAGGATTCTAGAGAGGACTCCCTGCGCTAATACTTGCCATAAAAGTTAACCAGCAATGTTGTATAATTCATTCATTAAGTATAAATGAAATTATTAAATTTAGAATTTATGCCTTCATTTTTAGAAATTGTTTATTTATCAATATGTTTGTTTCGGCATCACGCAGAAACTACTGGAGGCCTAACTTAGTCTTAACTTAAATTTAATAAACCTTTTATCTTGATAATACTATCTATAAATTTTATATTTTATTGGTGTTTCTACCTTTAAAATCCAAGCGTATGAAGTAGCGGGCAAAAAGCTAGTTTGAAATATTTTCAATGTAATGTGTCAATACCGTCATTCATCGTATGTGTGTGTACGAGTATGTTTCGTTTTTGCGGAATTAAATTATTGTAAAATGTACATCAAACCAATACTCGTATAGTTTTTTTTTAATTTAAATTCCACTTTTTAATCAAATTTAAATTATTACTTTCAGACCATCACCTGCTGGGGAAACTATAATAGATATTGAACCTAACCTGAATGTAAGTTTTCATATTTCATATTTTTTTATGTTACTCAGAATAGCAAACAAGTTTATGGTTCACTTAACGGAACTGTTCCCTATACACATGGGCATAAATGAACACTTTCTGATGACTGTGGTACCCCTTACGCATTGCCCAATCTGAGGATTATAGCTGGCATCTTGGTCAGCCGGCATTTTTATATACATATTTGCATGTTTATATTTTTTTATAATCCTTTTGTTATATATATTTCAATATCTTTTTTCTAAGTTCAAATATGCAATTTACTTATTATGCAATTTATTTATTTATATGTAATATGTATTGTCTTTGTACTTTGTATTTTACTTCAAGCCGAAATACAACCCTACAAGCACAGCTACTTCACAGCAGAAATATGAATGGAAATATTTTAATTTTTAATAACTTTTATTCAAATTATATAAATTTAATGTTAATTAAGTAGCATTCCTAAATTCCTTGTTCTAAATTCCATTGTATAATTTTATTTCAGAATCCGAACGAAGTTCCACTCCCGCCGCGTGCTAATAAGCCTAAACTAGTGGACAAGCCTCGCCATATTAGAAAGTACCCATTGAAGCTACCGTACCAAATTGAGGGCGCCGCCACAGCACAGCCTTCAGCTCGGCCCATCATTTACCAGAACACGTCTTATCCTCACGCGTACGCGTATAAGGAGAGGGAAAGGCCTTCCACTCCTTTTAGACCCATGGAGCACTCCGGTTTTGACGTGTTCGACGGAGTGGAACCGGTGCAGTTTGATACGAACCCGTTTAATAATAGACCAGGCCCGAGTACTGCAAACCCGTTCCATTATAATGTGAAAAACTCCGTGCGTAAAGCTTCGGAGAAGCAAGCGCCAGTTGCAGGGCAGTGCTTCAAGGAGGGGTCTTTGGTTAGAGGTAAGTTTCAATATTTTTTTTTTATTTGTAATAACAAACTGTCGCCTCGCCTGATTGAATTTTAAAATCTCCATCTACATGTCCAACTGTCAAGTTAGTATGGAAAGTTATTTTTGGAGAAATATTTAATTTCACTTGTAGAAAACTCTCTTTAAATTATGTTAATTAATTCGTCAATTTTATTCTGTGTATAAACAAAACAAACAAACTGCTTCACATTGTCTGTATATTATATAACCAGATATATATATATATATATATATATATATATATATATATATATATATTTTTTTTTTTTTTTTTTTTTTTTCAAACAGACTGTACCGACCATGTGTCGGTGGAAGATTTGCTCGAGTTTGCGGATCAGAAGCCATGCGGAAGGCAACGTGGCGTCGAATCTGACGAAGTGCGCATCATGTGTAAAGTTCTAAAGAAACAGGTGAGTCGAATAATTTGCTATTTTTTATGTTTTTTATACTAGGCATAATTAAAATTTTAGCATGACACATGATTTTTATTTGAAATTGTAAAATAATCAAATGACTTAATGAAAATCGTTCTTATATTAGGTGATTAAGTATTGTTACTTGTCTATTTTTAAATTTAAATAAATTGTTTTTTGTTTTGTACATTCTATGTGTTATGTTAGGAGATAACCTACCATTGAACTAAATTTCAATTAAACCTGTTCAGCCATTGATTAACAAAATATACAAAAATTCAAATATCTTTATTAGGGTGTTTGTATAATTTCTCAGATTTTGTAATTTTACACAATCAAACAAACTAACTTTCACATTTATAATGTTAATAAGGATTTACACATGCTAAGTGTGAGACCTGCTTCAACTTACACATGCCACTGTACTGATTTATTTCCTTTTTTATTCCACTCGTTCTGTTGTACTTAATTTTAATTAAATATTATTATAGCAAAGCACTTACAGTCATGTGTATGTTGAATAAATGTATTTTCATTATTTCTCTCTTTAAATTCTTAATAACACTGGTAAATGTCATGTAATATGATGGAGGGTTTCACCATCATATCTCACCATCAGCGTCAGCAGCAGGAGTGATTTTGAGAAAAAATCCCATTTAATTAAATGATAACTTGTTTTTAGTCGTGAACTAATCCTATCTTATATGACCAGGTGACACCTGACCAGTGCCTCGTGGCATTGGAGCTGTGCGATTGGAATGTGCATCATGCTATCAAGCTCATGAAGGTGAAGATTGCAGTCGGTGAAGATGTCAACATTGTGGATTGCTCTGTTGAACTTGCTAAAGCTCACGGGGACGTCGTCAAGGCATCCGCTGTACTTATTTTGTCTAAAAATAACATGAATTAAATAAATATCAACGTTATAACGTTGCTTTGAACTGTATTCTTGTATTCTTTTTTTCCTCCAGTTATTATCCTAAGATATTATATAGATTTGGTGCTTACTCAATCATGTTTATACTACTGACTAGATTTCAGAAAAATTTGGTGGTTGATGAACAATATTGTAGGTTAATATAAAGTATTTATTCTTACAGTTAGTTTCTGTATAATTATAATGAACTTGGAAATAGGTTTTTTTATATGACATACAATGGCACAAGCAAACTGAAGCCCCACCGAAGTTGTTAGAAAGTTGTAACAATTTTCTGTTGTCTTGAAGAGCATTAAGGATAGTAGAAATACTATTAATACATAGGTATGGTTTGTTTCAATAGTACTTAATGAAAATGTAACCAAATTTTGTTTTCAAAACGAAATTAATAATAAATCGAAATTTTTAATCAATTTATCCTATAATGGAGTCAATTATTAGCATTGTTTACATTTTAACTAAAATTTTATTGAAGTTTAGCATACTTATTTAATAAATAAAAATATACAAGCCAAGTTTTCGGAATACAATACAAAACCATGGGATGTATCTTTATATTTATTCTTTATATTGCGACATCATTGGGATGTAAAAAAAACGATTTTTATTTAAATCGATTATTATAGTAATAATCGATTTTTAAAAAATCTATTACTTAAATTATGCGTTAAAATTTTTATATTTTAATTTTTGAGACCTAACATACAATAAAAAACATAACATAGTCGTTTAGTTTTTTAATTATCATTTTAAGTATTTTATTTTAATATTAGGCAAATGTCAAATAGGACTGTCCCATTAATGGCATTTTATTTTATTTATATTTTTGAGACAATAAGCTTGTTATTTTGTTGGGATGGTCATCATTTCATTTTTATTATAATAAAATGTTTATTGGTACTGAAAACTTGTATTAATAATGATAATTGATTTTCTTATTTCTTGCCTTAAAAAATAAAAGGAAAGTTGGCTTTAATTTTTAGTTTTGAATTAGTTATTTTTTATCCATATCATTTCATTTAACTTTTAATCTGATAAATTGTTAATATGAATGTCCTAGGTTTATTATTGGAATATGAAAAGCATTTTTAAATAATAGAAAAAATCTATTTTTTCTCAGAAATAGCGTAAATATTTTTATTAAATTCGATTTTGAAAAATTTTTTAATATTGAATAAAATTAAATCGATTTTCATTTAATCGATATTTTTATATTAATCTACATCCCTATATACATATATAACTGCGCTCACCTTTATTATTTAAATGAGTTTGCACCTTAGATTACGAATTAAAGTATGTTACACTAAATCTATGATTTGCATCTTAAATTATGAATAATGTAGATTGGCAGTGCAAAAGAGAGACAATATAATAACCTATATGTTAGAGCGAGATAGACATAAGGACAACAATTTGCCCAATGTGTGCTTGAAACTCATTTAGCGCGAGAACAAACAAAATAGTTTCTAATTATTTTTACATTCTGAAGCGGAATTAGTTAAAATTCATTGTACTGTACTTAGATGTAAAAAGAATAACATTGAAAACACTTACAATTTCTTGTTTTAGGTGTAAATACGCTTTAAACATTTTATTTATTTAAATATAACATTTAGAACCATAACAAATATTTTGTATATAAATCGGTACAGAAAATTATCACATTACACTAATTAGTACTCTAAAGCCTCAAGAATTCAGATTAAAATAATAACAAGTAAATATCTACAAATTTTAACTTCAATTCCTAGAGATTGCTAAGAAATGTCAGTGACGTCTTATCGATAGTATCGTTCGATACATTTGCAGATATAATAATTATATACAATTTTTTTGTATAAATTAAAACAATAAATATATAAATAATTTTTAATTTTTTTATACAACTTAGAATGGCAAACAAGCTGACGGCCCACCTGATAGAAAGTGGTAATCGTTGTCTATAGACATGAGCAGTACTATGGACATAACAGAGTATACTGTTTCGCCCATGATACCCCCATGCGTTGCCATTCCTGAGGATTCAGGTGTTATTCCTCTGTACTCTGTACATTCACGCCATATCCCACCCTTCAAGCCGAAACACATCCATGCAAACAGCTGTTTCACAGTTAAAACATGAATGGGATAGAGGTACCCAAGCAAACGACTTTTGTACAAAGTCTCCCTCTGGTGATGGCCGTACACGCAAATAATAAAATTATGTGGTGTGTGTGTGGTGTTAATCAATTGTAATAAAAAAAAAAAAATATATTTATTTTATTTTTATTACAACCCATCTATTATACATGGTTGAACATAGATCTCTCCATAGTACATGAAGTACACATTCTGAGCACCAGCGATATGTTTGAGATTAATATTCTATATCGTCGTAATTTTTTGTCTTTTACTATTATATAATTCCGATTAAATTATGTAATGATGCCGAAAAATATATAAGATAATTTTTTGCCAACATCAGTGCTTTTTAATTAAAGTATATTTTTGTGTGTGTATTAATCAATATAATTGCTAATTGTGTCGGGGTCAACATTCTATTATCATCCATTAAAAAAAAAGTACTTTACACTAAGTCTATGGCTTGCATAGAATCTGAGTTTCCAAAACTATCCACTAGAGGCGCTACTAAGTTTTCAATACAAATTGACGATGGGATATTAACGTAAATCTGTATAAAATTTACACTAGAGACTGGCAACGTATTAGGAAATTTATAAAATAATTACGTACTAAAGCTTGTATATAAAGTTTGTTTTTATAACATAGTATCGACCTAAATGGTGTAACGATGGATTATATTGTCTTATTTTCTTATGACTGTGAGTTAAATCCCAACGCAATAAAGACATTTTAGTACTTTTACATTTTCTTTTTAAAAAAATATCTTGAGTCTATTGGTGTTTACATTTTCAAATATCGTGGACTCAGAGATTTTTTAAATGTTATTATGCAACTTAGAATGACAAATAAGCTGACGGCCCATATGATAGAAAGTGGTAACCGTCGCCTGTAGATGATCATTTTATATATAATGTTATTAGTTAAGGATAGATTATTGTGTGTTATATCTATCCACAGAACAAGTTTATTTTGCTAATTTTAAGAGTACTGTGTACTATACCCATTGTTACTTAATATTAACTTGTGGACCAAATTCGAATCTGTTCAACCGTTTAAGCATAACCAAATAAATTAACATCCAATCATCTTTATTAACTTGACATATTAGTAAAATTTAATACTAACACAATAAAGGGTCAAAAGTAGCTACTTATTTAAAAAAATACAGTACCTGTAGGTATGCCGTATGATATGACTTTAGGAATTTAATGGTCAAGGGATGGGCTAATGTCAAATGTCTCGTAAATTAATTTTAGCTATTAAAATGTTTTGTCTCTTTCTTTAGTACTAAATTACTAATATGAAAGAAAGTGACAAAACAGTATAATAGTGAAAATATGTTTGTAGAAAGTTTTAGTTTTTATAATTAAGAGGGTACGTTAATAATAATTTTGACTTAAATTTATCAAAAATTTGGTTCATTTTAGTCCTTAAAGATTTTGCTGCAATATGAAATTTAGAGATAGGTTTAAAGAATAGCGTCTCAGAATCAAACCCGATATTGTTATTTTGTCAGTATCTCTCAAAACTAGGGGCCTTTTGGATATGAGTAGCATTCGCAGTACCCAACAGTAGATTATGTTTCAATTATTTTTATCTGGATTTAAGTAACGCTATTTACATCTCGACATGTTCGTGACAGATTTGGCAACTTCTCGTTTCCATCACAGTAGGGTAGGTAAACGTGAAATAAGGATGGGCTGTACTGCTGAAATATCTTTATTAGTATAGACTCTGTTATCGATAGCTTAATATCAATATTTTCAAAATATAGTAAGTAAAAGATATCGATATTGAATAATATGGATATTTTTAAACAACACAATTTCCTATGTAGACTAAGTTAATTGTATCCTTTCTCCGATCACGTTATTTTAAATATCATGATTGTAAATAGATTTTTTTTCTTTTTGATATTATTCTGTAATTAATATAAAGTAAATAATTTAATTTATTAGATATTAAAACTACCCATATTATTACAATAATAAATATTACGTAATAACTTGTACGCCCAATGATGGCAAAACATAGCGTTCTATAAATGTAAAGCAACACTACCTGTAAGTACTTATGATTATGCAAATAAATTATTAATTGATTGGTTGATAGACTGGTTAGTGTTAGTTGATAGTGATAGCATTTGGTATCATTACCAATTATTGCAATATTATAGTATTGTATACATATAGCGTACATATACGCTGTATGTATCGATATCTATACCGATAACTATATATTGATATTTGGGTATTTAACATCGATATTTCGATATAATCATCCCTAACGTGAAATGCCGAATACAATTCCGACGCCAGACAGGCGCAAAAAATGATGTTATTGGCTTTTCTCTCGACTGAACTGAAATAAAGTGTGTTGATTTGTTTTGCGACTACTGAAATTGTGTAAAATAAAGAAAATTCTTCTTATTTTATATATAACTTGGAATGGCAAACAAGCTGTCAACCCACTTGATGTAAAGTGGTAACCATCGCATATATACATGAACTCTGTAGATATTGCAAAATATACTGTGACAACCGTGATATCACTCATGCATTATCATTACTGAGAACTAAGGTGTTATTTATCAGGAAATAGGAATCAGGAATCAGGAAAATATATGTACATTATAATCATCACCATCATATCAGACGTTAACTGCTAACTGCTGAACATTGGCCTCCCTCACGGGAAGGGGAGGTTTTGCCAGTAGTTGCTACGCTTGGTAGGCGGATTGGCAACTGCGGTTAAGCTTTTGACGGTGATTTATGAGGGACGCTGCTGTCCATTACTTGCCCTCCCTTTGTCACCTCTGTCCTGGAGAGGAAGGGGTGGTTTATGCCGGGGTACACACGGCGATATACCATAATTATAAAAGA